GAAAGAAAGAAAGAAAGAAAGAAAGAAAGAAAGAAAGAAAGAAAGAAGAGGGAGGGAGGGAGGGAAGAAAGAAAGAAGTGAATCTGATTGAAAGAAGTGAATCTGCCTCTGCATGCCGTTGATCTGCGCCTACACACGCACCCCCCCCCCACACACACACACACTGAGCGCAAAGCATGTACATCAGCAGAAGGAGGTCAAAAGTCAGGGCCAACTTGTGTAAAACGTCCTATGCTAAGGGATACTTTCGGCTGCAGAAGAAGAAAAGGTTTTTATAGTTTAAAAACATTCCCAACCCATCTCAGTTGAGCAGGGAGAACTGCGAGGGAGTCCTGGTGCGACTTGTAGCTGGCCCTCTGTGATGTCCTTCAGCGCCCTTCTTAGGGTTTGTTAATGACCTTTAAATCAGCCTTGGACTGATCACCTGCCTGGAGAGGAGGAGGCCTCCCAAAGGCGGTGCCATCTCATCAAACAGAGGATCGTCTTCTCTTTGAAAACAGGCCACGCGGCCACAACCAACATTGGACAGGCGCTGAGGCATCTTGTGCCCACGGTGGAGAAGGTGCTTTTCAGCATTTGGCAGAATCCATTCATTTGCATGACATCTTCCAGGATCCCCCCCCCCAGGCCCCCGGGATGTGTAGTCGAAGAAGTGATTTTATTTTTCAAGCTCTGGGCAAAATACTTCTGGAGACGTCAAGGAGTCAAAGATTCTGGGCAATAAGGGTGGCTCGTTAAGGCCCTCCAAATAGACACGATCCCTTTTCGAGAAAAGCAAAACATTTCCCACGGCTCCAAGTTAAACAGAAATGTTTCCCAATTACTTTCGAAATATAATGAACCATCCATGAAATTGACAGCCTTCCTAATTTTTGTTTTGATGGACACCTATATTCAGCCTGTGGAAGAGGCACAATAAAAGCAAAATTACAGCTGTCTGTTTTTATCCCATCCCTACTTTATCACTGGAGGTTTAATATATTTCCCTGCGAATGCTGTCTAATGCCCTCACCGCATGGCGAATATGAAGGCACATTTCTGAACGACAGGCTGGGGCTTCCCAGAGATGATCTGCCTCCAATTAAGAATCCGTTTGGGAAATGCCAGTTTTTGGATCCGCAAATGTCAATCTTCTACCTAGGCAATTTCTGAGAAGTCACCACACAGCCTTCCAAAAAGCATGGAGACTTTAACAAGTAAATTACATGTAATAGGAATATCTTATGCCTCTAATTTCTCTGCCATATGGATCTTGCCAGGGACAGAACTGTCAACTGCTTAATGGTTTCATACAAAAATAGTCAAAAATAAATGAAGAGATCTTCCTTGAAGAAACTGTGATTCTTTCATTTCAGCTCAATGCAGACTTCATCCCGGAAAACACAAAACTGGTATGCAATAAAATAATTTTTGGATTTAAATGGGATTAGGGACAGAATGTGTAGCAGAAACTGATTTTTATCTCTCTTGCTGAATTTTTTTAAGTAGGGTTGCTGCCTCCTCTGAAAGAGTAACAGCTACTTGATTAACGATCATTCAATCAGCAGAGGCACCTTTAACTTATTTGGAAGTTTCTGCCAAATTATTTGGAATTTTTTACCCAATAAAACATGTTCCTCTGTCCACTGCCAAATTTGCAGGAGGGCCCAAGAAAAAATAGGTTTAATATATTAGTGGTAACTGTTGAGAACGAATGCAGCATAATTCTGACCTTCTCAGAGGTTCTGAAAGACAGGGAAATATTAAGACCCCTATATTGCAGAGTGGTGTGTGTGTGTGTGTGTGTGTGTGTGCGCGCACGTGCATGCGCACGCACCCATCTGCTGCTTGGGTCTTCTTCATTGCCAGTATCTTCCTATAATATTTATTCAAAACTCACTCCTCTTCAGCAAAAGTCCCTTCCAACATTAATTAAAAGTTTCCTGCCTGTGGGATTGTCTTCTTTAATTGCGCTTCGTTCAGGGTAGCTGGAAGATTAGTGCTTAACAACCCATTAACTGCTGCTTTTTATACCCCCTCCTAATTGCCCTTTATTTCTATTCCTGGGCTGCTAGGGGTTAATTCCTGCCCCCACCCCAGATTTCATGATTAGGCAGGGGAATAACACACAACATCACACCTACTTGCTTAGGAAGAAATAAGTAATTGCTCCTTCCGTTGCCCAAGGAGCAGACAGCTAGCCATTACGTAAGAGAGGCTAACGGAAGGAGCAACTACTAGATTACTAGTATAAAACAGTGTCTAGTCTTTTTATGGAGAATCCATACATCTTAATAAATTGTCCCTTTCTAGCATTTCTTTAATCAAACACTATCTATCTACACCTTCAGCCTCTTTTATTGCTTCCTGCTGAATGGGGACTGGGATTACTAGCGAGTAATCTATTAATCAGCCGCCTAGAGTGGTTAAAATGCCCAGATAGGCGGGGTATTAAATAAATAGATAGATAGATAGATAGATAGATAGATAGATAGATAGATAGATAGATAGATAGATAGATAGATAGATAGATAGATAGATAGATAGATAGATAGATAGATAGATAGATAGATAGATAGATAAATAGATAGATAGATAAAATAGTTGTTCTTTCCGTAGCCTCTCTTACGTAATGGCTATCCGTCTGTTCCTTGGGCAACTATATATATAACTAAAACTGTGTGAAGAAAAGGGGGAGAGTCATGGCATCCTGGATATTTGTGCTGGGGGGGGGTCCTCAGCCCTCAGGAAGTGAAGCCTGGACCCCATGCGTCTTAATTTCAGTCGGGAGCTGGTCATTTCTGTGGCAGCTCAGAAAGGAGAGACAAGCTTTCTGCCTGTGCTCAGAAGCCCCCAGAAATCCTTTTGCTGTGCTTTTTCTCCCCTTATTCTTTGTGAGCCTGGCACCAAACTGGGAAACAGCGAGTCAATCAACTGCTGCTCCAATTATAAACTCTCCCATCCTAATTTGTAACCTCATTAATAAATATAACGAACTATTACCTCTTTTACAGCCATAACATGTTTTTAAACTTGCATTTCTCAATGAGTTTAAAAGCAATGGTTAAGGAGGGGGGGGCTTGAATTTGACATTTTAAACATAAATAAGACGATTCTGCTCTAAAACTTCAGTTTCTTGAGAATGAACCGAGGTAGCCTTAAAAGACGTTTTGATATGCGGAACAGAAAATAGCTTTTTTTTTTTTCTTACTTTGGGAACAGTCCTTGCCTATCCATCCAGGGAAGCACTGGCAAGATCCGTCAATTGGATTGCACGTCCCATTGTTCATACATGAACACATTTCTGCACAGTCCTTCCCATATCTTCCAGTTGGACAAACTGTAGAAACATAAAAGAAGAAAAATCAAGGCTTTCCTGTATCCACCGAGCTTCACTCAAAATGATATGAAGGCAGGATAGAGGGTTCCAATGCTGAAGATAAGGATTCACACGTATCTTGCATCCTTAGTAGGGATATGAATCCTGCCTTATTTAATCCTTTTCAAGTGAGATTGAAAGGTTTCAGAACTTTTCTTCCTGCTAGGTAAGATTATGAGAATGTTTATGGATTTCTCACATTTCAATCTCGTGTGTGTGCGAGAGAGAAAAATTCACAGAAGTGATTTTTGCATGGATACTCTCCCATATTTTTCTGCAGGAAAAACTTGTTTTTGCAGATAATACAGATTTTCAAAAGGCAAAATTACACTCCCCCCCAAACAAAAACTAGTTGCTTTGCAAATGCTTTTTTTTTTTTGCCAAAAAAAGGTGCTAGCCTTTTTGATCTGGTGTAGGAACAAGAAATCTCACAGCAGTTGACTATTTCTTCAGTGGGGTGTCTTGATATGGCAAGACTTTCCCCCTTTTCTTTTGAATCAAGGACAGGAAAATTTATTTACAGCCCATGTCTTGAGACACATACTCACTGACAGCATTAATATTTTTACTCTAAACTCACCCAACTACCAGGATATGTTTTCCAGTGCTCATGGAAGCACATGTCCCCACCAGCTGTTCCACATAAGTAATTGTCAACAATTGCAGTGGAATTGGGTCCAGTATCATTTTAGAAAACAATTGAGAAGATCATTTTATGGTTTCCTCGAACATCCCGTTATTTAACGCTAAAGGACCATCATAGCCATGCAGGCCTTGGTGGAATTCATAGAAACTCTCCTGCACCAAAAGGCGTATCTTTAACCTGAAAAATTACAAGAACTCTTTTGCATTAAAACTGATAGAAACCAAGCACCTGAACAAGGTTTTCTGCACCAGCATGAAAAAAATTGTTAAAATGCTGGGTTTGTATTGGCTGCTGGCTTCCTTCCCTGACAAAAACAGACGTCTTGTTCACAAAAGCTAGATAAAGCTGACACACACTGTCCATCATGGTAAAGAAAGGAATACAAACATAATCAGACTCATATTCTTGCAAATAGGTAGCCATTTTTTAATAAAAAAAAGTGATTAAGGGGGCTTCACTGCATTATTCTGCTGTTTTAGCGTTTTGACAATTTATGCCTTCCAGACACCCATTCACAGGAAATGACCTCAATCTATTCCCAAAGCGATTCAATTCTAGATTGAAATCTGGAACTGGGAATCATTTGCTCTCAGACAATATGCCAGTTGCAGCTCGTGTTATGACAGGAATGGCGAGAATAGGCTGGGAGACAATCAACCGCCATGGAACGACACACTTATCTCTCCCCGAGTAGATAAAGTTGACTTTGAAGTTAAATGCTAAACAGAACAGTTTTTCCACCGAAATGAAACAGAAATGTACCAGGGAGGGGACAGGATGTGGGAGGAGAAGAGAGGAAAATTCATGAGAGAAGGACCAAGTACCGAAACAATCTGTTCACCTGTCATCCCTTATGTATGGTCCCATTGTTCCAATGTCTCGGCAATATTATAAAACAATTTTGTTCTTCGGGAAAAAGATAGTGTTACTGACATGCATCCTTCCTTGGGACAAAATCCCATCAAAAGTACTTTTCCAATAACCGGATTCAGAGAGCGAATCTACATACTGTATATATATATGCATACATATACAAAAAATGGCTATATATCTATATCTACATCTATCCATACACACACATATATACAAATATATATGCATACTGCTCCTGCAACACTAAACCCTTATCAGGCTATGCCATGGCAGAGCAGTGGCAGACAAGGGAACAGGGAGAACACAGCATTGGGGGCCTGTAGAACTTGTGACTCGCCCAGTCAAACACAGTCCATTGGAGATGTGTGATTGCCTATTGAAGCTGAAAAAGAAACCAGCCATTAAGGCCGCTCGAGAGAGACCTGAATATTTCTAAGCTCCAGACAGACAACAAGGTCTGGTGGATACTGTAGGACGCATTCATTTGGTTTGATGGCCCACATGCTGTTGGAGACCTGATGGAAGTGGCCAGCCAAATGCCTCTTCCGTTTTAGGATGACAAATTAGGTGATATACACTTGCACCAGAGGGTTTTGTGATGTGAACAAAGTGAAATCTAAGCAAGACAAGGTAGAGGTGCTATGAGTGGAGAATATAACCAGTCTGACTGAGCAGGCCAATTGATCTAGGATAATCAATCAGTCCGTCCGTCCGTCCGTCCGTCCGTCCGTCCGTCCGTCCGTCCCTCCCTCCCTCCCTCCCTCCCTCCCTCCATCCATCCATACGCTCCGCTTAGAGAATCAAATTTGTCCTGGATTAAGCACTCTCTGCTAAATCCATCCATCCATCCATCCATCCATCCATCCATCCATCCATCCATCCATCTATACGCTCCTCTTAGAGAATCAAATTTGTCCTGTATTAAGCACTCTCTGCTAACAGAGCAGGGGATAGAAGGGAGAGCTTTTTAACGCTCCGCTTAGAGAATCAAATTTGTCCTGGATTAAGCACTCTCTGCTAATAGAGCAGGGGATAGAAGGGAGAGCTTTTTAACCTGAGGCTAGTACACTAGATGCAAGCCTAAATAGCTTGGATTCACTTTGCATTTGTCACATCCAAGCTAGATTACTGTAATGCATTCTGTGTGGGGTGGCTATTGAAGACAGTCTGATTTAGTTCAATTGATGCAGCTTGAGATGGCCAGGATGTTGATAGGACCAGCAAATTAGAACAGACAACACCTATTTTGGACCAGGAACACATTCAATGTGCTGATCTTGAATGATTCAGAATCCTTGGAAGAGTACCTATTTGAACCGTCTCAGAAGCCCTGCTAACAGAACTGTCTGTACATATACATACATATAAACTTTATTGTTTCTGGCCATATACCTTTACAATGTACTGACTATTGTAGCATATAAAATCCAATTAAAACAGGTAATTACATTAAAACCAATGAAACCCAGTCTAAGAATATGGTCATAACGTATAACGTCAGTCCACTGTATTCAGCATTTAGAACTGTCTGTAAGACTGGTTTGGTTAGTGGTCACAAGAAACAGAAACGTTTGGAAGGCTGACTTCAGATTATGAAATTCCTTCCCAATATGAAGCACATATGGCCTCAATTTGATAACATGTTTAAATAGGATTTTAAAACCTTTTACTTTGTGCCTTTTTTAAAAATTAGGTCATTTAATCTCTGTAGTTATAAAATTAAGAAATCATACAAAGTTTGAGTAGTATTCCTTTTAAGCTGTGCTCTTTTATTTATCTCTTCTCCAACCAATCTCTGTTTTGAAATTATTCCTATGCTATCTGGTTATATTACCATGTTTCCCAAAAAAATAAGACAGGGTCTTATATTAATTTTTGCTCCAAAAATGCATTAGGGCTTATTTTCAGGGATTTTTTTCCATGTACAACAATCTACGTTTATTCAAATACAGTCCTGTCATCTTCTTCTGGTTGCTACACAAGGGTGGAGGGTTTTTTTTTCCACTTAACTAGGGCTTATTTTGGGGGTAGGGCTTATATTACGAGCATCCCGAAAAATCATACGAGGGCTTATTTTCAGGTTAGGTCTTATTTTTTGGGAAAGAGGATATATATCTTAATAGTATTTTACATGAACTTTCTTACAAAAAACTATGTCCTAAAAGACAGCCTATAAATATGTATGTATGTATGTATGTATGTATGTATGTATGTATGTATGTATGTATGTATGTATGTATGTATGTATGTATGTATGTATGTATGTATGTATGAATAAGAATGAATGAATGAATGAATGAATGAATAAATAAAAAAGTGGCCTGAGGAATTTATTTTTGACTGCTATGATTCTCTTGTTGCTGTCACAAAATATTGCCAAACTATTTACTTTTCTTGATTATATTATATGATCTTAAATCATTATTACATGGTTTTAAATTGCTTTGAGTATTTCACAGAAAAATAGGAATTAAGATTTTGAAACCCTTGAGTAGTACTAAAATAGACATGTATAGATTCTCTAGAATTGCTACATTTCAGATGTCAGTACTTTGTGTTAGACAAATTGCAGCTATTCTTTCAGTCTTCTAGCACTATCCATCTCTTTCCAGGAAGTAGATGTCCCCAGCTACAATGACTGCTTTCTAGGGCGGAACTCTTGTTATGTGCCATCAAGACGGAAGGGACACAAAGCAACCCTCCACTGGTAAAAAGACAGCCTTGCATGCAGTGAGCTGTTGCACATGCAGAAAAACAAACAAATAAGGATTTTGGCCAGTGTTACGGTGTCAGTTACACATAGGTGAGAGACATACATTTTATAGGTGTGACCTGTTCAGTGGAAGACCCGTGTTTATCAGCAGATTGCTTCATCCACAAGCTGATGGCTTCGGTAATGAAACACGGTACGGCAAGAGTGCTTTCTGTTGGAGGATGAAGCCATCCCACTGAACGAGTTCGGAGAAGCATGAGCTTCTCATGGGCCACCAAAGAATGCTGAACACACTGAGTACTAATATGGAGAAGACGCCACTTTTGTATCCCTGTTCAGTACTAAGCAGTTCTTTTATAATCAAAAGCCAACCTGTTGTTAGTGTGATATTACTGTTGGTGAGAACTGCGGCTGACTTCGGGCTACTAAAAATTAGACACTTGATTGGGGACCAAGCCGTCTGGAAGCCGAGGTGGGCTTGGGCCTGTTGCCTCACATGAGCACACATTTTTAAACATTTCGTGACTTATGGAGCGAAAGGCTGCATAATTTGGAAAGTCGACTCACATGGGAAACAAGCTCCACATTATCAGATCAAAGAATATCTATATATGCCAGTAAATGTGTCTCATATATCTTCCTTTGGCAGGACTTGTGAACCATGAAGGAAGAACATCAGAACTGTTTTGAAAAGAGAATTGTTTATACTTCTTATGGCCTATTAAGTTC